TTAAAGGCAAGTCAGCAGATGTGAAAAATGTAAATCTTGGGTAAAGTACGCAATCAACAAAGGCAGAGAGGTATTTGCTGTTGTTTGTGGTGTGCGTTTGTTTTGCTTTGCTTTCCAAATGAAACCTTTTTAATGCTCCCTGACCTGTAAACACCACTTTTAACAGAATGCAGGAAATAAATTAATAATAGAAGTAAAAAAATAAATCTGAAAGTAAACTTGAGGAAACAGCCTCTTCAGCAGAGATGTTATTTTTTGATTCTTCAAAAGACACGGGCAATAATCTGGCAAGCAGCACTGTTACAGTAAGCCAATGCTCTTCAAAGCTAATTTTGGGTAGTGCAGTGTGTCAGGTCTCTTATTTGGACATTGTGTATATCCTCCAAAGGGAAAGTATCCTCCTAGGATTAACACTTACACAAATGAAATATTTCCCTGAAGATCACACTTAGAGCTTCCTTTATAAGGCTTCTAAATAGAAATGGTTGTTTATCATGTTATTAAATTTCTTCTCCCCCCCCCCCCCCCCCCCCCCCCTTTTTTTTTTCCCTCTCTCTCTCTGGATTACATTTAGCAAAATGAAAACTTCCTGAAGGTAATTACCTGGCTGCAATTCAAGGCATTCATAAACCTCACAGCTCTCTTTGGTGGGGGAAGGAGCCACAAGACCAGGACAGCAGCTTTGAGATGCCCAACATCCCAAGGACACAGGTCCTGATGGGCTCCACCACACTTCTCCCTTAGGCTTCCACTCACTCCCGGTTCAGTGATTGCCTCTTGTTTCATATGAATTTGCATTTGACCCATTTTGTTTGCTCTCCTGGGGCCACAGGAGTCTGGCGTAGGCCCTGTGTTTCACAGTACACGCTGCTTCTTGGACTGATTTCCCTCCCCCCAGAGCTACTGCATATCATCTTCTATGTAGATGATAACATGTTTGGTGCAGCTCGGATGCTTGCAAGTGCTGCAGCATGCAGGGGCTCATCACCTCTGCAGGAAAATAGTGGCAAAGGTAGAACAATTTTGCTGAACCCCATCCTAGTGAAGAGGGATGGCAAAGCCAAAGTTTCCTTTAGGAAGCAGACAAGGTTTTTTTGTTCCATCTCTGAAATTTTGTCTTCTCTGCAACTCTTTCTTCTCTTTTCAAATGATAATATAAAATGGCACCTGTGTTTGGAGGACTGTTTGTGTCTATGGCAAGTGTACGTGCATAGGTGGAGTATTTCTAGGATAAAAGATAAATAATGTCGGTATCCCTTCTTTAGGCATTAAACCCATGTCCCTTATTACACAGAAAAGATTGCACTTACATTCTCGTCTGAAACCAAAACAGCTGCCATCTTCACGGTGCCCAGTAAGCTATTAACTAAGCATGTAAATGGACAATGTAGGATAGGAGACCTTCTTTTGGGATAATGTATGCAATTATGAATATGTAAGTTAAGTTCTCATGTTCTGTTCTGACCTCTACTTACTAAAACGCTGACAAGGACTCTTGCCTTCTGACTGCAAGTCATGCTTTTGATGCATCCAAAACATTAACTACAAATCTAAATCAAAAATGAAAGAACATAAAACAGTTGGAGGACAAGGAATCCTCACCTTCTACTTAAACAGAAAAACGGAAAACTGTCAAGTTTTCAGAGTTAAAATTTTAAAACATGAAACAAGTATGCTAATGGTTTGTGGATCTTGAGATAAACAAATATGCATCTTTTTAGGTTTTTATGCATTTCACAGAAATCTTAGGTTTTCCCAATCAAATTAAAGACTTTTACAGGTACGAAATTATTTTTAATGACCTGAACATAGCAGTACAGTGGTGCAATTTACTGTACTCTATAAGGCCTATGAATATTTTTCTTTGCTTAACTCACTGTAAGCTTGATAAAACGCAAAGATTAATGACAAGACCTGTTCTATGCCAGAGTTCATGAAGAGGAAAGTGGGATTTACAATGGAAAAAGCATGCATATCTTGCCTAGCTTTTGAATAATTAACTTCAAGGAAATTCAGAACTTTCCCCTGTGATTTCCCCAAAAGAAAGCCTGAGATGCTGCAGGCAGTGTCCCAGAGCATTCACGTGCCAATGAAGAAATATTCAGACAACAGGATATGCTCATGCAGGCCTGGCTGCCACTGCTGCCTTCCTCCAGTATTCAGATAACCAAGATAGTTAACATTAGGTAAAGACAAACAGAAAACAAGAGTCTGAAGAGTAGGAGGACAAAAAAGAAAAATAATCCACTTTTGTCCCACGCAAATCCAGAGTGCTCACACTGAGCGCTGGCTCCACTTTGCAAGCTTTGCATCTGAGTTATTTCTTGAACTGGCAGCTAGAAAAGAAAGGTCTTACGACAGCTTGGTTTGACTTCGTATGAAGATCACATTACATTGGATAAACTGAGTGTAATGGTACACGATAGGGGCAGGTACACGTGGGAGCGGTGCAGAGTACAGTTGGGGTTCTAATGCTCTCCCTTGCATGCTGGCAGCAGGGTTTCATTATCAGCCTCCATTTGCTGACAATCAGAAATCTAAGCCAAACAACAAAAATTTCCATCAAAGAATACTTATAGGGCAAAAGGTTAACTAATTTGGAAAGCTGTTACTGAACTGTAGAACATGACTGGGAAAGAAAATCTGGAAAAGCTGAGAAGGCTGAATTTTGATGCAGACCAAATTCTGGAAGCAAAGAAGCAAAAAAAAAAAAAAACCAACCTCTCACACTTTTATTATTTTTTGTCTTTAAATAAAGGCCCATAATGTTACAGTGAAGTGAATATGTGAAAACACATTTTCACACTGATGAAAGTTTTAAATGATGAGCCCTAGACAGAAATACTTACATTCATACTATGCTTTGAATCTAACAGCTCAAAATCATGGAAGAAACTGAAAATTCAGGTTGATTGTATTCTTAATACAATGTTGTTAATGTTAATACAATTGCCTAGCAATTCCTGGTATGCAATGACTAGTACTCCATGTTTCCTGAATACTGAGAGAAGAATACAAGTTCCAATGCTAATTTCAAACTTCCTGGATTTTCAAGTACTTGGTCACAGTGCCTAAATGCTATTATGTTGTTTTTCCATACATTAAAACAAGATTTAGGTTCATATGGGAATGAAAATGATAGACTTGTAAATGAAGATAACAGTATTAATAGGAAAAGTTGTGTTTCTAACAAATGCAAAGGATTTCTAGGAAGGATAAGAAAAGACAAGATTTCAGGTTCCCAGGATTTTGATGCAAAATTCTGCAGAGGGCCTGCAAGAAGACCTCCTCCCAACACCAACTGAAGCTGCTCTTTTGTCTTTTTTGCCAAGCTATGCAGACCTTACAGCTTAAAACTGGAATATCTACACAGCTACAAACACCCACAGCACAGGGTGCTTGATCTCCATCTCCATGCTGTAATGGAGTTTCCCATGCAAAGGTCATGGCCTGCAGCAGTATGAGACTCGCATGACTCACCACTGCAAAGGCACTCTCCTTTTTCCTCATCAAACCTTACGTTTGTGGTCAAGAGCAGTGCCCAATGTACAGTACCTAACAGGCCTTCTCTGTAAGCTCGTAAGACATGCTTTGTACAAGGTTTTCACCAGGAAAATACTAATGGGCTGAAATCTAAAATTTTCTGGAGATATGCATCAAGTCTTTCAGGCTATTTTCCTGTTCTTCCATTGGGATTTTGAAAGAATGTGCCTTTGGCTAGTTGCAAGAGCAAGCAACTTTGGCTTGCTTTATAGGGAAAAGGAGGTTTGCCACTCACTGAGGTCAAGGTGGATCATTGTATTAGATGATCTTAATGGTCTTTTCCAGCCTCGATGATCCTATGATTCTAAGCTGTGAGCAGGGCTGTCTCTCTCTGTACCTTCCTTACCACACACATGGTAGTGTAGAGAACCATGTCCTAGAAAGAAAATGCTGGAAAGGTCTGATGAGCAGAGAGCCATCATTGCATCACCTGCCATCACCAACTTTGAAACTCAAAAAATGTAACAGAACCAAAGCCCAAGAGACAGAAAGAATCATGAATGTATTGTAACTAGCTTGTGTCCTCTCCAATTAATGAAGAGTCAGGCAAATTGGACTGCCTACAGACAGAGAAGCCTGTCTGTCATCCCCCAGCCTGTCCCCCACCTCCAGGGCCAGAGACAGCACAGAAATCTGTCCCAGAACTGGCTCTGCTACCTCTTCACAATCACTTCGCTGAGGCCTGGGTCCTAATCACGAAGCAAGGAGAAACAGTGATGGGGAAGGAAAGCCATGGGGTTTTGCAAAGTGGAGGCATTTGGCCTGGTACATCAAGCCTTCTGGAAGGGAAAAACATCCATGGTAAAACTGAAGTTTAACATACTTCAACCTACCCTGTCCCACTACATGCTGTCTTCTGGGACTGCCCTTCACCGATGCAGTAGCTTTGAATTATAAAATACCTCTGACTAGGAAGCCTAGCTCACATTAGCAGTCAGTTTTGTCTCATCTTAGCAAAAAACACCTAAAACATATGGATATGAATGTTTCTTTGACATGCATACCTTCCACAAACACTAATCACATACTTACTATGAATCCAACAGATCTGTTCTGAGCAGGGAGCTTTGTGCAAGCACAGCCTAATGCACTGTGTGGCAAGACATTTACAACAGGAGCAAAGCTTATTTCCAGATCTAATCCTTTCAAGAGTCTTTCTTCCCAAAACTAAACCAAGATGCACACCCTCCAATGGATACAATCTTCTGACAGAACATGAATGCTACTGTATTAAGTTCCTTCACACAGCACCTAACACACTCAGAGTGGTCAATAAACAACAACGTGCTGCACATGATCCAACAGCACCGCCAGCACAGCAGGAGACACAGACGTAGCATAAAAAGCAAAAAATGTCATATCAAGGATAGCATTTAAAATGCCTGTTTCAGTGAAATTGTATTCTTTGGTGATGTCACAAGCACATAAAGCAAAACCACCACCCCAAAGTGACTCACCAAGTGTTTATTTCACCAGCCTTGGACAAAAGCACCTGAGCCTGCCAGCAGCCCCAGGCCGCTCACCCCGTCTCTACCTGCAGGCAGCAGAACAGACACACGGCAACCAGCTGCTCAGTTGTACTCCATATCGCTTGCTTTCAGCCTTCCTGAACTTCCCACTTCTTCACATAGGAAAGCAGAAGTATGACACTCACTGTATTCTTTTTCCCCTCAGTAGCAAAGTTTAGCACTTCTGAGAAACAGCCAGAGTAACGCTGTTTCAGAAAGTGCAAGTGATCTGCGCTATCTTCCAGTCAGCCTGGTAATATGTTACACCCAGAATCCTATTTAGCAGTTTACATAATTCACAGTTTCTCTGGTTACACACTTTGTAAAATATGACATCCAGCTGGGAAAGCTGGTCTACTTTATTGTTGTACGCTTGCTTTATATCATCCAAATATCAATTAAAGCAACAACAACAACAACAAAACAACTATAAGGCAAATATCTTCACATCTTCACTTGTATATACACAGACAAAACGCTTGCTGCCATTCAAAGGGGAAAAATATCCTTGTCTGAAGCGTAAACTGACTGTGCAGTGCTAGGAATCACGTATAATTTAAAACAAACAACAAGAGAAAAAAACAACAAATAAACTTGTAGAATTTAAGTATGTCTGTTCACTTTTCATCAGCTGTTTTAACGATGCAGTTCTTCCAAGAAGTGAAATTTAATCAGAACATGTTGTCAAATAACAGAGCTATATCCCACAAAGTCAACACGATGACATTTTAAGAATACAGCAGATATAGAGCTTTTACTGGCATATATGCACTTAGCAAATATTAGAAAAATCAATCAGAAACAAAATGCAAAACTCTGAAATGAGCACATGCCTTGTGTTATTCATTTCCAATCCTAATTGTTTGATTTAATTCATCGGGATTTATATATGCACCAGTACACTACTAAAGCAGCTAAAATTAAATACATCCCATTTTTTTTCCCCAGAAAAGTAATGGACTTTAGCAGTCATTTTATTGCAGTGAGAGATATTAACAAACAATTCTGCTCCTAACTCCAGGTTATAATGTAAGTGGATCAATTGATCACTTGCAAAAGGCAAAGTTTTGCTTGATGCTGAGGGCAAACCACATCAATAAAGTTCTGACCAGACCATTCATTATTTTCAGTAGAAATCCAGTCACAGTCTAAATACCACCCAAAGTATTTGCTCTGATTTGTGGTCCATGGAAACAAACAAACAAACAAAACATTTTACCATATAAATAGGAAAGGCCATGGACTGAATCTACTCCTGTGTTGCACCTAAACCATGCTGATCTATAAGAACGTACCAACCCTGCTATGGAAGATTTTACCACTCAAAAAATAAGACACAAAAAGAGGAAAATGCATGTGCCACAAGATTTACCTGCTTGGTATATGCTATTTTTCATGCCTAGCTCTCATGGCTCTCACGACAGGTTACAAGAGTAAGCAAAGTGATCTGTAACTGGAATAAAGTTAAGTAGGGCAACAGAGAAAGTCAGCAGGTTATTCCACTGGAAGAAACTGCCTACAACATGCACTGGATTAACAAACAGTACTACTGCTTCAGGAAAAAGTAAATTTGATACCCCGGGGGGGGGTGGGGGGTGGGAAGGGGGGAAAGAAGTTTAATTAATTAGTAGGGTCTACCACCATGCATTTAATGCATGCAAAACCCTAAGGTCTGTATTTAAAGTTACATATATGTATTACATACAAACAAAGCAGTTTAGAGGATAAAAACTGAAATCAGATCAGGGAGAAAAACTGTGCTGCATAACTCAGGTGCTAAAATCACTACAGAAGAGTAACAGCTAATGAAATATTTACAAATCAACATTAATATCATTAGACTTCAAAGGACATCACCTTCTCAGCATCAGCTTCTTGCACTGATCATCTGCAGTAAGCACTCACACCAGGTTGTTTTCAGGAGCTTCTTTCCAACCACACCAGCTCAAATCAAAACACCAATCCTCTAAAAGCCATGAACCGCCCTCGCAAAGATCTGTTCTGCACCTTCTCAAGTCCACTCCTGGATTTCTCATGAACTTTGTCAATGATTTACTATTTCCATGGGATGAATAGGAAAGCGCTTAAGAACAAGAAGATATTAAACACTCACAAGGAGATAAGAGGCTTTGGAACACGAACATTATATTATTTGCAAAACCTTCTTCCAGATCTTACATATTCTGCTCATTTACATGACAGCAAACGGTAGAACTACAGTAAACATTTTAATTGTGTTGCATTATTTTGTGTAAGAGCTTGACATTTTTATTTTCTCTAAGGAGAAGCACTGCCTATATGCTCTCTAGTGGATGAACAGGGTTTTTACAAGGTCCCTCCTTCTCTCTCCTTTAAATGTGATCAAATACGAATTGCTTTTATTCTGCCAGTATCCCAGTCCAAGATTTTGTATTTGTCTAGCAACAACGACACGCAACCAAAGCAGGACAGAGAGCAGCTCCTCCTCAATTTCCCTAATGCTTCAGGTGCTATCTGTGCCAGGAAAGTGAGAACACCACAGAAACTCTTATCTGAACATTGGCAAGGACTATGCGTGAATGGATGATCATGAAATTCTTTTCATCCACACTTTGAAACTGATGTTCCTGCAATTGCTATCCACACGTGAAGTCTTTCTGAGGCAATGCCACAATTTCTTCCAGTATTTGAAAGGAGCATATAAACAGGAAGGAGAACAACTGTTTACGAGGGTGGATAGCAATAGGACAAGGGGGAATAGTTTTAAACTAAGATAGGTGAGGTTTAGGTTAGATATTAGAAGGAAGTTTCTCCACACAGAGAGTGGTGACACACTTGGGAACAGGTTGCCCAAGGAGGCTGTGGATGCCCCATCTCTGGAGGCATCCAAGGCCAGGCTGGATGTGGCTCTGGGCAGCCCGGACTGCTGGTTGGCGACTCTGCACATAGCAGGGGGTTGGAACTGGATGATCATTGTGGTCCTTTTCAATCCAGGCCTTTCCATGATTCTATGAAATTCATGAGCAACTGTACCATTTTGGAAATCAATATCCTGTCCTGCATTTCAGGATACCAAACTCCCATGGTACAAAAGCACCCAGCAGCATTCCATCCCTGGCGCCCTGCTGCCCAGAAGTCCCAGCTAGAAGGAAAGAGGCTATTGGCAGATTGTTTCCCAGAATTACGTCATTTTTCCAGGCTGAAAGGGTGTTGGGAAGGGATGCAAGACAACTCAAAAGTTTAATATAACTAAAACCTACCATGATTTCAGAACAAATTTTGCATCCTTGTGCAGATTTATCCCTTTGCAGGAAGAAAATGAGCCAGCATTCAGCACGCTCAGATTTAGAGGTCAGTGCTAAGCACTGCTACAAAATCCTTACCTTTGCTTTTACCAATTTTTGAATAAATCAAATGCAATTGGCAGATGGGGTGATGACCTCTCATCAACACTAACTTAAAATGAGCTGCCCTAAAAGGCAGACAGATTTTTCCAGTTTTGGTAGTGGAATCGTGAGCAAATCATGAGCAAATCATGATCCAGCACTGTCCCCACCCAGACAGCAGGTGCACAAGTTGAAAGAGCCCATATTCCTTTAGATTAGGTATATTCACCACTTCTTAATAATTTATAAGTCACTTAGCTTTCCAATTACAGTCATGCTAGTCATAAAGGAAAGGAGAGTTTGTTAGAGTTGGCAAAATACAGAGAAGCATATTATAAATTACTCTGGGAAAAGGCTTTGATGCCCAGTTTTGGGGGGCTTGGTAGATACCATTCCTCTTAAGTCCACTTTTGCAGAAATTAAAGGAATTTACTTATTTTAATAGAGGATATAGGTTTCTATTCATCAGAAAGCATTCTTTCCTAGCTAGAGGGCATAATCACCGTTCACATCTAGACAATATACATTTAATTATTTTTATTGGCTAATAGAGTCTCTATCAACATGGAAGGAAAACACACTTTCAGAACTATCATCAGAAATTAGCATGCTCACAACAAACAGTTCAGCCCTGTGAGATAAACCACTGTATGGGATGGCATCTTAAAGGCTGGGGATGGGGATGTCCTGAACGAAGCTTTGACCACTGGAATGAAAACAAAACAAAACAAAGAAAATCCTGAAGTCCCTCTGTTCCTTCCCTGCTCATCTTTTTCTTTTTCTTTATTTTTTGACTGTGATTTTTTTTTTTTTTTTAAATATACTTTTATACATTGCCCTTTTTGTATGCAGACAATCATTCATCTCCTTCTAAGCTTTTGAAAGCCAGCATCTTCATGGATCACCTTATGCAGGGACTTCAATTTTAGTTTGCCTTGAAACCTTTCATTAAAGCAGCACACTTTAAAACTGCCTCTCTTTTCTGGTGCCTACTCATGGCATTAGAAATCTCCACACACCACCTTGTCCTGTCTCAGATGTCTGAAGTCCCAGTGTCACAGACTATATAAGTCTCACCATCATAGGTCTCTATAATAAATGAACAGAAGCAGCCACCTCAGGGCCATTTGTTTGATCTCACATCTGCATCTCAAAGAGTTGGATAGTCCCCCTAACTCCCCTGGTGCCCCCTTACCCTTCACAGGAAACAAACATGCAAGGGTGCAACCTCAGATTTCTGAGGTTGCTTGAGTCAAGGCAGATAATGCCTGATTTAATTCTCTCTCAAAAAACCCGATATTTAGGGACCCATAGATTGAAACCCACTGCTGTAGCATAACTGAAAACTACACAGGGTGAATGCTGATACCACTGTAGGAATTGGCATTTTGGCTGGGAAAGGCACTTCTGCTAATGAACAGCACAATTTCAACTGCAACAGCAGAAGGATGGCAATACTGGCATTCATCTTGCATGCGGGCAGCTCATTCTGCAGTCTCTGCCACCCTACCTGTTTTGTTAGCATGACCTGTTGCAGAAAGGAAGAAAGTCTGCAAATACATCCATGCGGAAGTCTTACCTCAAAAACAGTGCCTATTAAGTGCCAGGTACGACCTGTTTCACATTCCATCCTCTTGCAAATACAACCATCCATCAAGCTTGTCTTTTCCCTGCAAGCTTCTCTAAGGGAGAGGCAGAAACACAGACGCTGCAGGGTGACTTTCCTCAAGCTCCAGCTTCTTCCTGTCTCTTTGCCTTTCCCAGCTCTGCCCAGGAGAGGAGTTCAGTGCTGTCCAATCTGAGAGCACCAATGAAAGCTGCACTGCTGGACTTGTGTGTGCAGGGTGTATCAGGAGCTTTCCCCTGAAAAATGGCTGGGGTAGTAACATGAGGTTGCAGCAGCCCAAGAAAGTTGACATCAAGAGTGAAACAATGCAAAAACAGCATTGGGAAAGCTTGTCATGGGCATGGATGCCTCCTGCAGAGGACCTGCTCCATGATCCTGCAGGGAAATGCCCACCTGGTGCTGAAGGGTTACACACATTTCTGTTTTTTCTACAGTGGAGGCCAAATGGCTGCTGGTCCAACCCCAGGTGGTGGAGCTCCCTCCCTGTGCCCAGAAGCAACTGCTATTTGTCTGTCAGCTCTGGAAAGTTCAGGGGAATGTGTGTGCTGGGGAGGCTGACAGCCCCTCTGAGGCATG